GGATTACAGGCATAAGCCACCATGCCCAGCCCCTGCATTGTATATTATAAGTAATCTAGAAATGATTTAAAGTATATAGAAGGATGTGCAAAGGTTATATGCAAATACTATACCACTTCATATCAAGGACTCAGATTTTGGTATCCACCCAAGGTCCAGGAACCAATCCCCCATGGGTATCGTTTTCACAGCATTAGTGCTAAACTACAATTAAACCCAAAGTCTCACTAGAAAAGACTCAAACAATTACCCAAACCACAAACTTTCAATTTGACCAATCTACACCCCTAGAAAATATATGAGGCTGACAAACCTGCATTCTTGACTTCTAGCATGACATTAATGACTACACATCCTGACCATGACGATATCTCTACCGGAGGAGCAGTACCCAGGACAATAATGGCACCACTCAGATCTCGTCCAAAGGATATATCGTTCATAAATGGTGCGAGCCCGATCCACCTCTTTGTATCTCAGCTCAAAGTTGATGTAGGAGTGCCAGGCTTGTTCCTCAGGCTGCCATTCCATCCAGCGCTCAAACACCTGCCGGGCACCAGCAATGTTCCCCAACATCTCCTCCATATACGTGTATTTGTACCTTTAACAAAATCATCCATAAATATCTGCTGTGGTCAAAATGACTTAGGGAAAAAATGATCTTTGGCAATTTCTAGTCTTCCATTGTTGAATGGGAAGATTATTTAAGGTTTTATCTTTCCTAAAGGCTAAATCAAACATGATTTCTCATTGAAATGTAAATATAAAAAAGGATGTACCATTGGAAAAAAGGCGTTTTTTCCCTTAAAAATTGTCTAGTTTGACAAGTTTTTTATGTATAAAAAATTGCAAAGTTTTACTTTTGGTTACATATCCATTAAACATTATAATTATGACTTAATAGATTATAGGACATTAAAAGGCACTAAGAACATGTTTAAAGAGAAAGATGTAAAATTATATACGATTATAACCACATAAATAACACACATGCACAAATATGCGGAATTTTTCTACTTTACGAAACGCTGTTTTGTTGAATCAGAAACTTACCAGAACTGGTTGACACGGGGCAGAGTTGTTATGGCCCGGTCCCAGATATTTCGGGCATGGTTGACCTGGCGATTCTTCATTTCCATTTCTGCATATTTCAGCCATAGCGTAATATTTCGATAGTCTACATCTAAAGCACGCTCGTATATGGATCGAGCCCTTAAGAAGCAAGATTTGGAGGATATCAAAAGTAGTACATACAACACAGGTAGCAGTTATTTCAAACTACCTGCAATGCCCTGCTATTTTATTGAGTGTTTACCATGAGCCAGGTCTGAGCTTAAAAAAAAGAAAAGATATGATGTTCTCAAGTACCTTACAAAGTCTTATAGAAGGATAGACTTGCATGTAATTATAATGCAATGTGATACTTGTTATAGTCAAGATCTGCACAGGTAGCAGAGAGGAAGAAATGAAGATATCCGATGGAAAAGACTAACAGGTAACTCCAGAATTGAGAACTTGAGGAAAGTTCCAGTTTACAAGGATGGTAAAGGTTGGTGGGGAGAGGTACTCCTTCCAGGCAGAGAGAACAGCTAAGCATCATGGTAAGGAGACACAATGTGTTCATAGAGCGGCAAGTCGGGGGAGAATGCAGAAAAGCTGGACAACAGAAACGGCCAGGTGACAATTTTTATCTTGGGGGCCACTTGTTTTCAGCTGAACACTTTTATTTCTTTAAAACCTCTATACACAGAAAGTAGATGAAACTGTACCTCTCTAGCTATAGAGTGTATGCTCACAGAAAGACCCATCTGTGGAGCCTCCTCCTGCCACTCCCCCCGTGACTATTCTACCACAGTGCCCCTGAGGCCCCTCAAAGGAACCCTAGGGTTCCATGGAACAAAAGTTGAAAATTACTACCAGAGGAATACTCTTTTACTTGTGCTTTGACTTTTTATATATTTTTTGTATCTATTAACTTAAGAGATCTTTATATACAAAATTACATTCTCAGCAATTTTACCTTTGAATCTCCTTTAGACTTTCTTCCCATTGTGCATATTTTATCCAGTTACTAATCACAAAATTATATTCTCAGCAATTTTACCTTTGAATCTCCTTTAGACTTTCTTCCCATTGTGCATATTTTATCCAGTTACTAATCACAGTCCTATTTTTTCTTATGTTATCTTCAAAAGTCTGTAAGAAAGCAAAAGGCATCAAATTAAAGGGAAACTGACTGAAAATGACACCATCTGTTGCCTAGTAAAAGTCTTGTACTAAAAAGGTTATTCATTTTGTTCTTATGTAAGAGAAATTACATCCTGGAATCCTTGAGGACTAAGAAACCCACTGCAGAAGGTTACAATCACAGAGGTTTCTTTAAAGTCTTACAAGTAAATAAGGAATAAACTTTAGATGCAAAGATTATAGAATTGTTGATATTTTCTCCTATGACAACTGACACATTATTATACTCTACACTTATTCCTAAATAAAAAAAAAAAAAAAATTTTTGAATATTACCTTTAAGTCCTTTGGGTAATTCTCAGAATTTCATACATAACTTATTGAGAAAAACAAATGAGTAGATTAAACAGGTTGTGGTTTAAAATAATGCCACATTCTAGAGAGACGCAGTCAAATCAGATCCCAAAGTCTCATAGTTCTTTCCCAGATCTCAACTCCTAGCACAGAAGGCAGCACAGACAGAATATATAATGCAGTCTTGCTAAGTACACCCCTCTGCCAGTTGTCAGTTGTTCTATTTTCCACCCATATTTGATTTAGCACCAAAAATAATGTCACTGGTGGATTCATTTTATTTATACTTTAAACAGACAACTCACGGCTTATTTTATATAGTTCAGCAAAATGAAGGTATCTCGTAACCAGAAGTAAATTATTTATGTGGCTAGAAACACCAACCTTGTCTTACCTTATAGACTCTAATTCATGAGACCTTTTCGAACTGTGACCTATAAATTCTTAACAATTAATAGACCAAAAGATATCACACTGACCTTCCTTTTCCTTAGTTTGTAATCATTTAATTCTTCTTCATCTGTGATCTTCTGTTGAGGTGGAGGTGGAAGAAGCTCAAGTTCTCTTTCTTTAGCTTCTCTTAAGAGCTGTTCAGCAGTTATCTGTACTTCAGCTGGGGCTTTGTTTTTCACCTATTAAGAAGGAAGACATTTCTATTTTTGGTAGCTGCTCTTCAGACAAGGTTTAATAAACATACATTTTTTAGAATGTAAACTTCATAAGAATTAACACAAGATGCCCTCTTTGTATGACATGTTCCCATTTCTCCGTGAGACTGAATAGAAAAAAATATTATGTTTTCTATTTTATACATGGTATCTATTACAAAGCCATAGGTAAAAGTCTGAAAAGGAAAAAGATGCAAAAATAATACCAAGTTTTCCCTTTTAGATAGTATAATGATAAACTTTTGAGGCTGTCTAGGCAAAATTCTCACTAGAGGTTTTGCTTTATCAAGATGTGCTCCACATTTTATCTAGCATTACGATCTCTATTTACAGAAATTTTCAACTTGTTTTAATGCCCCTGGTGGTTGATTGGGTTTGGTTTTTCACAGTACTTCAAGTCAAAGACAATATTCAATAAGTTCCAATTATTAGACTACAAGCTTCTTGACATCTTAGATCCGTACTGTTCAACACCGTAACTACAAGTCACATGTGGTGAGTTCAAATTGACATGGCTGTCAGTGTAAAATACACAGTGATTTTGAAAACTGAGTATGAAAAAAAAAATTACCTCATTAAAATTTTCTATATTGCTTACATGTTGAAATGATATTTTGGATACATCGGGTTAAATAAAATATATTACTAAAATTAATGTCACCTGTTTTTTGTTTTACTTTATTTTTATTTTTTAATACAGCTATGAGAAAATTTAAACTACATATGTGGCTCATTTCATATTTCTGTTGGACCAGTGATGCCCAATAGGTTTATGGAACTGAATTGTAAGAAATGTTACTTAATGCCGCACATGGAGTAATGACGATATGCTGATAGCTCATGTTTAATAAGCACTTAAGTGTCAGACACTGTGCTACCGATTTAATATGCACCACCTCTGGGAGTTATCCAAATAGATATGTAAAGGTCAAGCTCAAGAGAGCCATCTGGGCTGGAAAAACAGACTGGAGAAAAGATATCTGTAAAGGCTCAGGACAAAGCCTGACACATATTAAGCACTTGGTAAGTATCAGCCATCAATGGAAATATCAGATAATAAAACTATTGTTTAATTAAATCATGCCACTTCACAACTCCTGTCATCTACTCTCATTCCCTCCCATATCAGCCAGCCCTCAAGTCTCAGCCTAAATGTCACTTCCTCAGCAAAGTTAACTCTGAAGACCGTTCTCACACAACCCCTCCTTATTCTCGCCCAAAGCATATTCTTCTTTGCCTCGGAAACACCTAGCAAGGTTGCCATTTTGCACTTACTCCCGTTTTGAGTCCTGCTCATTGCCCGCATTAGAGGGTAGTTCCCAAGTGCCTAGCGCAGTGCCAGGCTCAGTATATCTTTGCTGAAAACGACCCCACTCTTCCCCCAGCAAAATCACTTCCCCAGAATGATCGCGACGCCAACGCGGGTCGTGCTCCGGGATGACAAAAGCCCGCGCCCCACCACCGGCCGATCCTCCTTCTTCGTCTCCCACTTGGCCCCGCACGGAGTGAGCCTTCTCCCCGGACAACACTCTCTTCCGCCCCGGGCACCACAGGGGCTGCGGCTTGGCGAAACCCCTCTCCCAGGCCACCTACCGCGAGGTCCCTCGCTATCGCCTACCTTGGCCACTTTGGGAATCCGCTGTTTCCCGGCCGCAGTGGAGGCTGCCATGTCTGCAGCAGCGGACCTCGGGAAACCCGCCGCCCACCCTAACCCCCAGAAACCGGCTGTGTGGCTTCCCCAACACCACAAAGCTTTCGGACACCAAGAGGGACCCGGAACCGGAAGCGGAATTAGCTAGACTGGCTTTTGACCTCCCGCACGCGGCGTAACGGAGGCAGCGTCGTTTCCGAGGTAACCAGGCTGCGCGTCCTCCACAGAGCAGTGGGTGGAGAGCGGCGTTCTGGAGTTGCGGGTGAGGTGGGCAACGTTGGCCTGCCCCGTAGCGACGCAAGGACTGGGTCCAGGGCGTCAAGAGCGCGTCCCCAGGTCAGTCTTCGCGACTGGGCCGACCATGCGAGGAGGGGTGGATCTGTCAAGCCGTGGCGCTTTGCAAGGGGACTTGGAACCGAGCTCCAATCCGGATGCTAAAAGGGCGGGGGACGAGAAGCGGGCGAGGAAACTCGCCTTCCCGGCGGTTGCCCGGCGCCGCGTTGCACTCTAGGCCTTGTAGTCTCTGCGCTACGTCCCCCTGCGTTTCTGGTTTCTGGACAGCTGTGCCCAGATAATTAACTCTAAGGCTTGGAATTAAAAATAACGGAAGGTATTTTGAAGCCGTATGTTAGGAAAAAAATGAAAATAAATCAGAGTAACTAGCAGACAACCCAGTCTTGTAATAAGAAACGGATGTTTAAATTCTTTTTGAGTGTGCCTTAATTGCTATACTTAATTTCTCTTAGCCTCCCTCAGTGTCCTCAAATATAAAACAAGGATATTCATATCTATATCACTAGGATTAAAGAGAAAAGTTTATGTAAAATGCTCAGTAAATGTTAACTGGTATAATAATTGACCTGCCTTCAAAAACAGAAAAATTAATAAAACAAATGATAAAGAGAATTGTTTTTAAAAACAGATTTAATTTTCTTATAGAAGTTTTAGGTTCACAGCAAATTTGAGCCAAAGGTGCAAATTTCCCAAGTACCTCCTTGCCTTCCCCTCCAGTCCCCCCGTTATCAACATCCCCCACCAGAGTGGTACATTTGTTATAATCGATGAACCTTCATTGACACATCATTATAACCGAAAGTTCATAATTTACATTAAGGTCGACTCTTGGTGTCCTATGGGTTTGGACAAATGTATAATGACATGTATCCACCATTATAGTATCAAGAGATACTATACTAAACAGAGTAGTTTCACTGCCAAAAAAATCCTGTGTGCTCCTGCCTAGTGCTCCTACCTACTTATCACTCCATCCCTGAAATCGCTAGCAACTACTGATCTTTTTACTGTTTCCATAGTTTCGCCTTTTTTAGACCGTCATATGGTTGGAGTTATACAATATGTGCCCTTTCCAGATTGGTTTCTTTTACATAGTAATATGCATTTAAATTTCCCCCATGTTTTTTCATGCTTGCTAGATCATTAGCTAAGAAAATTTTCACAGCTGCAAGTCTCTTGGTGTTCGGAAAATATATATTCATATATTTATGTATATAGTAATATCATATCTACCTATGCAGATACTGCTTTCACAAAAGCTTATGCAGATTTCTAAAACTGCAGTCTATTATAACCAACATCAAATATTTTCCATGACTCTGTATCACCCATATTATTTAAATATTAAGTTATCTCATTTTTCAAAATTTAAGTAAATTCAGAGGATTTTATATCACTCTCATAAAGAGGAGCCACCTAACAAGATAAACAAATATCTATTAAAAAGATGTTTCCAGTGATTTTTCTTAAATTTGTAGCTATAAATAATGGCTTTAACAAATGAATAATAGATTTAATCATCTCTAGTCTCTGCTCAAAGATACAAACACCTTAGAATACTTTATTTCTGGTTGTCATCTTTCCATCTCACATGTTTTTATTGTCTGTTAATTCAGTTCAGCTTTTATTTTTTAAAGAAAAATTTTTCATCATCCTTTTCTTTTTGCCATCAGTGCTTATTTAGATATACCTGCACGTTTACCTTCTTATCCCCAAGCATTTCATCTTGTATGCTATTCCTTTTTTATTTTAATTTTATTCTTCCTGAAATACACCTTTTCCTAGTTCTTTCAACCAGATTATTTGAATGATATTTTCTTTCAGTCTTTGTATGAAATTGTCTTTATTTCACCTTCATTTTTTAATGATTGTTCAGCTAGGTATAAAAGTCTAAGTTAATGGCTCCTTTTCCCTTTGTAGTTCAAAAATACTATTCTAGTAATGTAAAAACCATAGCCTGTAGGCCAAATTCAACCCTTCACTTATTTTGTATGGCCTGTGAGCTATGAATTTTTTTTACATTTTAAACATTTGCAAAAAAATCAAAAGAATACTACATGACACATGAAAATTATATTTTTAAAAAAAGTCAAATTTCATTGTCCATGAGTAAAATTTTGTTGGAATACAGTCATGCTAATTTGTGTTCATATTGTCTCTGGCTGTTACTGTGCTATAATAACAGAATTGAGTAGTTGTGAAGAGAACATGTGGCTTATAAAACCTAATATATTTATTATCTGGCCCTTTACAGAAGAAATTTGCTAACCCCTGTACTACTGGCTTCTGTTGTTGCTGATGAGAAATATTCTGTCAGTCTAATTATCCTTTCATAGGCAATCTGTCTTTTATGTGGTTGCTTTAAGGTTTTCTCCTTGTCTTTCAGGTTTTGTAGTTTCACTACTACATATTTAGGGTTTATTTTTATTTTTCTGCTCAGAACTGAGGATTCATGTATTTCGTCAGTTCTAAAAATCATCGGTCATTATGTTCAAACATTTCATTTATTCTTTTGGAATTCCTATAAGACATAGATTTTTGTCACTCTGTCTTACATGGTGTCTTAACCGCATTCTGTATTTTCTTTCTAATTCTATGTGCTTCTTTCTAAATAATTTGTTCATAACTGTTGTCCAGTTTATTCTCTTCAATCTTGTCTGCCTTTAACCCATCCAATTAGTTTAAATTTTAATAACCATATTTTCCATTTTTATAGTTTCTGTTCTTTTTTAATAGTTACCTGTTCTCATGACTTTTGTTTCTCTTTCTATATTTATAATAATTATAAACATACTTAGTTTATAGTCTCTTTCAGAGTCTATTATCTAAAGTTCTTGGTGACTCCCATGCTACACAGATAGTGTAGATTAGAATGGCGTACCCACTTTAGTCTAGAATTTGGACTTCCCGTAAGTATTTTTGTTTTGTTTTCTACTTAGAGCTTTGAGTAGAGAAAGCTTCCTTGTCATTTTCTTGCACTGGTGGGTTTAATTTTTCTAGTCCCCACATTCACTCATTCATTGAGGGCACCATCCCTCCTAAGTCCCAGTTGGATGCGTGGTTTTAGTTTCAATTCCAGTGGAATGAGGTCCATGATATTCCCATTGAATGTTAAAACTCTGACCCCCAGAGCCTGTGTCAGATCTGATCACTTCCTGAGCTGCTGCTCACAATATCTTTGCCATCTTGGTGGAGAATTTCCCTTGCTTGCTCTCTTCCTTCTTTTCTTGTTCCCTGTCCTCCAAGTTCAGCTCTTTAATTATACTTTCTTTTTTTATTCAGAGTTTTATATACTTGTAGCATTCGTTTATATAATACTTCACAAACAAGACATCTCATTCCAATTCTGCTTTTAAGTTAAACCAAAACCAGGAATGGCAATATTTATGACTAGCTTTGACATGAGTCGAGACATTATTAATTTCCCTGTTTTATTGTTTTCCCTGTTTTGAGCTTACTGGTTGGTATATAATAAAATGTTTTTCCCTAGCCAGGCACAGTGGCTTGTGCCTGTAATCCTGGCTACTTGGGAGGCTTGAGGCAGCAGGTTCACTTGAGGCTAGGAGTTTGAGACCAGCCTGGGCAACATAGCAAGACCCTGTCTCTTAAAATAAAATTTAAAAACTTAGCCGGGTATGGTGGTGTGCACCTGTAGTCTCAGCTATTCAGGAGCCTGACATGGGAGGATTCCCTGAGCCCAGGAGTTTGAGGCTGCAATGAGTTACCATCTCACAACTGCACTCCAGCCGGGACACCAGAGCAAGACCGTGTCTCTTAAAAAAATAAATAAAAAAAAATAAAATAGTTTTCCCTGGGAAGGAAGGCAGGCAGGGAAGGATAGAAAGAGAAAGCAAGAGACAGACAAACATTGGTACATTGAGAGAGAATGAAATCATTTGTGAACTACTATTTCTGTAAGCAGCATTTCTCAAAATATCTTTCTGGAACATTAGATTCTCCCCTGTTGCTGTCATTAGAGATTCTGTTCAGGAAAGGTGTGGGAAAGGTTGAGTTTTACAAAGAAAACAGGTTACTTGGTTATGGAACTTCTCAAAGACTTTAATGGACATGGTCACCCATCAGGAAGCCTATTGCAAGCACTTCTTACGTTTATTTGACCACAGAACGTTCTTGGTCTCAAAATATCTCTTAAGACTGCTGTCTTTCAGGGTTCCAGTTTGGGGAATTCTATTTGGAACACAGGCAGCAGCTAGCTGCCAATATTTCCCCTGTAACTCTTGACCACATGCTATGGTGGCCGATTAAATATTATATAAAAGGACACTGAATCCATAAATAATTCCTTTCAATATTTTTCAATCCTATTGTTAGAATATTTTTAAATGTCTTTGTTGGAAACAAAGAATACAGTTGCAGAAGTTTCTACACAGGCCAATTCTCAGAAACTTTATTCTCCTGTGGAGAAACATGTCAGCTGCTTTGCAGTGACAGTTGTCACAGCCTACACCCAGGGGAAAATGTGTCTCACCAGTACTCCCATACCACATTCACTCTGACCATACGGAAATTGAATTAATGTTCAATTTTGTGTGTACTGTAACCAAAGTGATTTGCCATATCAGATTAATAGTGGACTATTTTCCCTCTTTTTAGGACAGGATAAAAAATGCCAGTACTTACTTCTCCAAGAGGAAAGGTAGAAGTTGTTCGTTGTCGAAGAACAGAATCGCAGGATATTTATTGTATCAAAAACCTCATTAGAAAATTTACCCAGAAGCTGTTTGGGAGGCTTAATATCATCTATCTTCTGTAAGTACTTAGCTAAGTAAGCTCAAGAATGTTTATCAATTTTATCACACACCAGGAAGGGATCCCACTCCTTTGTCTTTAAGATGCTTATGATGAGGAAGTGGGCAGCTCACTGTCAGTGAAGAAACATGTAGCAAGAAATCTCTGGAAACAACCAATCTCTGTGTCCTTTAACAACATGCAAATCGAAAGGTTTCTCATGGGCTTTGGATTCAAGCAAACCTGGGCTCAAATCTCAACTGCTGGCAGTTCATTTCTCCATCAGCCAGAAAGGACATGTTGAAGTTGGCATACTCATCAAGGACGGGAACTACCATGGCTTCCAGTGCTTTGATGAAACCTCAGATGCGTGGCCTCTTGGCCAGGCATCTGCAGTTTGATATTGTTGGAGCATTCATTGTATCCCTGGGGGTTGCAGCTTTGTATAAGTTTACTATGGCTGAACCAAGAAAGAAGGCATATGCAGATTTCTACAGAAATTATGATTCTATGAAAGGTTTTGAGGAGACGAGGAAGGCAGGCATCTTTCAGAGTGCAAAGTGATTTTGGAATATAAAAGGATTTCTTTGGATTGATTCACATAGAAGTATGTCACTGACCTGTGTTCCTGAGCTGTGAATATGTGGGCTGAGAAATAGTTTCTCTTGATAAATAAGTAATTAACAAATAAAAAAAACCCAAATCTCAACTGCCACACTTACTAGCGGATTCACTTGGGGCAAGTTAATGGTATTAGCTATCAAATTTTCAGAATTTATGTCAGACTCTGTCCTTTGGCAATGTTATCTCGTTTAATCATTTTGACACTTCTCTGAAGTAGCTACTATTATTCCCATTTCACAGATGAGAAGGGGAGGCCAGCTCAAGGCCAAGCAAAGTGTGGATTTGATCTTAACCACTACTCTTAAAAGTGTCTTCTAAACTTTAAAGTATGCATACATTTTTTCTTAAAAGGTCTTTTTTCCTCCCATTTTGTTTGTTTACAGACCTTCTATAGACATTAGAATACAAATATCTTTTAATCTGTCCTCTTTTTTTTCTTTTTTTTGAGATGGAGTCTCACTCTGTCACCCAGACTGGAGTGCAGTGGCCTGATCTTAGCTCACTACAGCCTTGAACTCCTGGGCTCAAGCAATCCTCCTGCCTCAGCCTCTGGCGTAGCTGGGAGTACAGGTGCATGCCACCATGCCCAGCTAATTATTTTTCATTTTTTAGAGATGGGGTGTCACTATGTTGTCCATGCTGGTCTTGAACTCCTGGCCTTGAGCAAATCTCTGCCTTAGCCTCCCAAGTTGTTGGAATTACAGGCATGAGCCACTGCGCCTGGCTTGTTCCTCATTATTTTTATTGAAAATATAGATATCCCAGTATTTTGAATTTCATAAAGCTTCATATCAAATACAATTGAAATATTTAAGCTAAGGCAAGCCTAAGACATTAAAGTTTGTAGTTTCTGCTTACCACACTGATGAATGTAATATAAGTGGGCACAATTTTACTGGAAGGTGGTAAGGAATTATATATAAAATGCTTTAAAAATATGTATACCTGTGAAATTATTCCATTTTTTGGCATTATGGTGGACTGAATACCTTAATGATGTCCACTAGATGGGGACAGCTAAAATGTTCATATGCACTTACACACAAACACAAAAGGTAAGGACTGTGCAGACAATATTATCACACTGAAATCAGAAACTTCATGAGATAAGGAGACACCAATACCAGCATTCTCCTTGAGGATTTTTGCCACATCCTAGAAGCCTCATGTTTCTTTTTGACAATTTGCAAAGAACAGAAGATAACTACTCCCTCGACCTAAGGAGGAAAATATGAGATCCCTTTGTATAAAACTGAGATGTTCATTATAAGGATGAACAAATAAACTCACTGCATAAAAATGGACAATAAGGAAAGTAGCCTGTTTGAACCTCAGTATGGAATGGAGAGGCATAAAGTCTCTCCTGAGAATTCATAAGCACATGTTGGTTTTAGATCCATGTTAATTATCTGTGTGGTCCCAAAAACACCAAGTGGAGAATTTAATTGAAAATGGTCACAGGTTAATAGCGTATCCAGGAGACTGGCTGAAATAAATGCAAATCAGTTCTGAAGGGATGCAACTTCAGCTCAGACTTCCAATACTGCCCACAGATGAACTTCCAAGGAACATGAGCTCACAGTCAAAAATCATAAATACACAAAGAAATGTGTACCATTAGTGAGAACCAATAAAAACAAAAATTATACAGGAGAATCAACTCTCAAAGACTTTAAATATTAAGTTACACAAAAAATATAAATAGCTATGTTTACTTTGTCTAAAATGAAAAGATAAGTTTAAAAAAATGATCCAAGAATAAAAATATCATAAAAGTGAATAATCAGGTTTGAACAAGTGAAATAGACCATCTACAAATGAAAATATAATTGAAGTTAAAAGCTCAGTTGATGAATTATACATCATCATAGACACAGTTAAAGACAGAAGTAATGAGCTAGGGGATCAATACCAATAAATTATCTAGAATTGAGCACAAAGAGAAACAAAGGAGTAGAATATGGGGCCTAGTCTAGACAGACTTCTAGAAGGAGATAATAGGAAGGCAGAGTCAATATTTGAAGAAAGAATAGGTGAGAATTTTTCAGAATTACTGGAAAGCACCAATTCTTATGTCCAGAAAACTCAATGAATCCCACATAGGATAAATACATAATGAAATCCACAACTAAATTCATTGTAATGAAAGAGCAAAATGCCACAGCTAAAAAGATCTGAAAAATAACCAGAGAGAAAAGATAACTTATCTGCAAAGAACTAATGATTACACTAATAGGTGATTTCTTACCAGCCACAATGATAGCCAGAAGACAATAGACTATCTTCAATACTGAAGAGAAAATAACAATTTAGAATTGTATACTCAGTGAAACAATTCTTCAAGACCGAGAGGAAAATGAATGCATTTTCTGACAAAAACCGAGATAGTTTACCAATAGACTGCATAAAGGAAATTCCTTAGAATATGCTCTCAGAAGAAGGAAAAATATCTCAGCTGGAAAGCTCAAAACACAAGAAGGAACATAAACAAAAATATGGACAAATATGTGGGTAAGTCTAAGAAAAAATATGACTTGTATAAAACTATAATAATGACTAATTTGTGAAGTATAAATCATACATTAGAACTAAAATTCAGGACAAATACAGCATATAAATTGGAAGGAGCATGATTAGAATGACAGTATTCTTCAGGTTTTATTTAAGAGAAGGATGTGGTAGGTAGTATACAAAGATGTTTCCCCTCCCTCCCTCCGGTGAACCACACATCCTGGCATTTATGCCCTTGTGTAGTCCCTTCTCACACTGAATTAGGGCTGGCCCTGGTAACCCATGGAAAGCAGCAGGAGTGATACTCTATAATTTTAAGTTATGAGAAGTCTTGCAACTTCCACCAGGTCTCTTGAAATGTGCCCTCTCAGAACCCAGATGCCATACTGGCAAAAGCTCAAGTCACATGACTACATGGAGGTGCTCCATTTGACAGCCTCAGCTGAGCTCCCACCACCATCAACCACTATCCATGTGACTGAGCCATTTTAGACATTGAGTCTTCAGATGACTTTGTTTTTTTTTTTTGAGACAGAGTCTCACTCTTTTTGCCCAGGCTAGAGTGAGTGCTGTGGCGTCCGCCTAGCTCACAGCAACCTCACATTCCTGGGCTCCAGTAATCCTTCTGCCTCAGCCTCCCGAGTAGCTGGGACTACAGGCATGTGCCACCATGCCCAGCTAATTTTTTCTATATATTTTTAGTTGTCCGATTAATTTCTTTCTATTTTTAGTAGAGACGGGATCTCGCTCTTGCTCAGGTTGGTTTCGAACTCCTGAGCTCAAACAATCCTCCCGCCTCGGCCTCCCAGAGAGCTAGGATTACAGGCGTGAGCCACCGCGCCCAGCCCTTCAGATGACTTTGGCCACAGCCACCATTTGACTGCCATCACATAGGAGACCCTATGTAAAACTGTAAAAACTGCTCAGTTAAACCCAGTCAACCCACGAGAGATGTAATAAATTGTTGCTTTAAGCTGCTAAGCTTTGGGATGATTTATTTTACGTTAGTTGATAACTGGAACAGAGGGTAAAGACTTTGTTAGGAATATATGTTAACATGGTTAAGATAATCATTAGAAGGACAGACTTAGAGATCATAACTTCTGATCTATAGAAGGAAAAATGGCATGAAAAATCTAAAACAAACCCTGAATCTAAAAGAGGGCAACAAAGGAGGAAGAAAAAAGAGATAAAAAACATAGGATATATTAAAATCACATAATAAGAAGATAGAAAAATTCATCTATAGCAGTAATCATAATTGCTTTTGACAAAATCTTCAGTTTAAAAGATTAAGATGGGCAGATTGGCTCAAAACAAAACAAAACAAAAAACAATTGTATTTTATTTATGAGATACACCTAAGATGTAAAGTCACAGAAATATTTAAAGTGAAAGTATTGGGAAAAAAGATATGACAGCCAAAATCTCATTCCAAGAAGAAAGGGTGGTCAGTATTGCTGTAACAATAGCAGACAACATATACTTTAAGGCAAAAAAACATCCCTACAGATAAAGAGGGTCACTGTATAATGTAAAATGTTTAGTTCTTGAGGGAGTTATGGCAGCTTTAAACTTATATGCTCCTACTGATCCAAAATATATAAAGCAAAAATCAGTAGAACCAAAAGATGAAATAGATATATTCACCATCAGAATGGGAGATTTTAATACCCCTCTTAATAAGTGGGATATCAAGCAACTGAAAAATCAGTAACAATATAAAAGATTTCAACAATCGCACAATTAAAGAACTTGATCTAATGGACATACGTAGAATACTGTACTCAATATTGAAGAATACAAAATCTATGTATACGTGGAAACATGTATAAAAACTGACCATCCGTTAGGCTATAAATTTCAGTATTCAACAAATTTCAGTG